AAAGCACTCCCACAACAATAGTGCTAATTCCTCTTGGGAGACGAGTTGGCTGGATTTTAACCCAAAGAACTTCAAAAACTGTGTCAAGTAAGTCGTGAAGGACGGAATATTTGATGGACTTCATGATGTACATACACACACCGCCGTGATCGGCCGACCTCCTATCAAGACGAATCAGATTATAGCCATTGATAGCGACCACAGTGTCTTGAATGTGGTCTTTAAGCCATGTCTCAGTCAAACAAGCAAGATCTAAATTTGCATTGCTAATACAGTGTTGAACTTCGTCTATTTTTGGTGCCAAAGATTGAACATTAGAGAGCAAAAAGCTTGGCACAAATACTCTTTCTGACACTTTCCTCCTACTGATCTCATTTGACTTTGTCATTGGGGTAGTGTTAATACAGTTTACTGGGTTGTGGCACCTTAGTATACTTGGAAAGGACGATGTTGTTGTCGCACGGTTGAGCGCTCTCGGTTGAATTGATCTTATTGTTTAGCGACGTTGAGTTTCCCTCAATTTTACCAATTTTCCAGCACGCCTTCCGCGATATAATGGCCAAATCTTTTTGAAAAGGTCCCTGTGAAGGCAACTAGCTCGATTGTTTGCCATGATGCGTTGAAAGAACCCAGAAATATTAAAAATTTCTAAGAGCTATTTTGAATGCAGCCATTAGCGGCGCATACAATTTTAATAAGATTACCATTATTTATTTTCTCTGCGATTTTCTGGGCATTCCCATTGCACCAGACAAAACATTTGGCCCATCGACCACTCTCACATTCGCTGGTATTGAGTTGGATTCACTTAAATGGGAAGCTCGCTTGCCTAAAGACAAAATTGAAAAGTGCGTCCAATGCATTGCCAGCTTTTTGACTCGTAAAAAGGTTACTCTAAAAGAACTTCAGTCTTTAATTGGCTTACTTAATTTTGCATGTTCGGTTGTTACTCCAGGTCGCGACTTTTTAAGACGATTAATCGATTTAACGCGCGGAATTTCACAGCCGCATTTTTTCATCCGGCTAAATCGTAATGTAAAAGGCGATCTTCGCATTTGGCAGACTTTTTTATTTTCTTTTAACGGAAGATCTTTATTCTTGGATGATACCTGGAGTAACAACCATAAACTTAATTTATATACGGATGCATCTGGTGCCATTGGTTTTGGTGCCTTATTCGGACGTGAATGGTGCTATGGGAAATGGCCGGAAAATTGGTTGAAATATAGTATTGCCGTGCTAGAATTTTATCCCATCGTACTCAGCTTATGTTTGTGGGGTCATAGAATGAGAAATCAATGTGTTCTCTTTTTTACGGATAATGAATCTCTGGTTTCTGTTATCAATAAGCAAACATCAAAAGATTCTGACCTTATGACCTCTGTTCGCACAATGGTGCTCGTTTGTCTGCAAACCAATATTTTATTTAAAGCAAAACATATCGCCGGTAGTCGCAATGTCCTGGCTGACAGTTTATCTCGATTTCAGGTCCAAAAATTTCTACAATTGGCACCGGCGCATACGCATCGTTTTCCAACCCCCATTCCCTCTCACCTGCTGCCTGGAAATTGGCCAATATAGTTTCTGTTTTGGCTCAGTCCAGTCTTCAACCGTCGTCCATACCAACGTATAAACGGGCTTGGACACTTTTCACGCAATTCCATATAAAAATTTTTAATAACGGCTTAGTAGCTTTGCCTATATCACCTTCAGTCATCGCATTATTTATCGCTTACTTGTTTGATCTCAAGTATGCGCCATCCATAGTAAATACATACGTGTCTGCGATTGGTTATTCTCATAGATTGTCAGGTTTTCCTGATTCTACGAGAGTTTTTTACATCGTTCAAACACTTAAGGGGTATGGTAAAACAGGCTTCCGCTTAGATAGTCGGTTGCCAATAACACTGTCAATTCTCAACCGCATTATAGAGACGTCGCCTCACATTGCTGGCTCTCAGTACCAGATTTGTCAATTTAAAGCTAATCTGCGGATTGGAGAACTTACTATGACAACATCAAATAAACAAATCCTTCAAATACATCAACTCTCACATATATATGATACGAATAACCAGATCACAGGCATAAAGTTAACCTTTGAAAATTTTAAACATAATTACAACGAACGGCCTTTTAGTCTGGAAATTTATCGTCAATCTATGATTCTGGGTCATCTAACACTTACATATCATACATATATTCAAATGATCATATATATATTGTACATATGTATATATATATATATATATATATATATATATATATATATATATATATATATATATATATATATATATATATATATATATATATATATATATTGTACATATAAGGTCAGCTGTTGTACACATACACTTAATCATGCAAATTTTATAATGTCGATCTAGAGCCCATTAGATTGTTAAATAACCAAGCTTACCTAACTTATGATGGCACCCGCATTAAATGGGCTCAAGACTTTTCATCATTACAGAATTTTGTTAAAAACGTCGCTGGACTAAGCGGTGAATGGGAGTCGCCCGGAGGTAGAGCAAAACAATTTAATGACTCGAATCTCGATTTTGTTATGACTTGGTATCCGGGAAAGCTAAACTCTTTGATATTCCACGGTAAAGAAGGCGAATATTAATCATTAAAGAAATTTCTGGTGCGTATTTTACAAACTCTGTAAATCAAACAGACGCTATCACGGACGGAGTATTCATCTGTGTATAATGGTTATTGCTGTGAAAGCAGAATCGATAGTAAGGTTTTGAAGGATATGATGAACAAATTAACTCTGTCAATGCAATCATAGACTCCACTGACGCAATTATTGAGTCCATGAGTGCTATTATGATACCTTCAGGTCCCGAGAGTGGCCGCGTACCTTATGATCTTAGACTCAAAACGTTTCTCCAAGAGTTTTCCGTAATCTTAAAAGAGAAGAACAAGACTATTACAAATCTTCAGGAGAAGTTAATTCAAGTCGAAAACGAACGTGATTTATTGAAATTTGCATCTCAAAATCTGGACAAAATTACACCAGCCAAATCTATAATTAATAAGCCCCTTAAACAAAAAAGCAATCAAAGCAACGGAAATGCTAATTTAGACATAAATATACAAAGTGCCGACTTAAACAAAGAAAACAACAGATCATTGTACATCCCCTTGCCTGTGACACCTCCCAATGGTGTGCTTTTAAAATCAGTAAATAACTTAACTGATAGCATGTCCGATGAGTCGTTCAAGCCAAGAAACCACAAAAAGCTTTCCAAAATCCTAATTAATAAGCATCCTAAACAAAGGACAAGCCAAGACGTAGAAAGTATCTAACCCAGTGGTAAATTATCTACACCGAATAGAAAATTAATTTTGTTGACAAACATAATCGTCATAAGATAGCACATGACAAGGCCGAATACGTTCCTTTAGAGAAACGTAAGAAAAATCCTTTTCGGGAACGTTATTTCCGATACAAACCACCTTCTCTCCTTCGCCGACCGACCAAAGACTGGCTAAACCACTTAAACCTTGTCCACATAATAACCACGGACAGCCCCCACAAGAACCGGTTTTTGAATTAAAAAAACCTCCACAACGGCCATCACCAGTTCGAACCACGAACAGACTTCCAAAGAAAACGTATCACTTTTCTCCCCCTTGTCGGGGCGGTACGGTATTGAGTGGAAACGTTAACTCTAATAATAGCGGAATGGGTGAATCATCTAGTTTTTGGGAGCTCAATCTTGGCACTTCCAGGAACACTTCATTGTCGCACGAAGCAGATAATAGGCTAACCAAAATCTCGTCGTTTTTACCCCCTCAAAACATTGTAAGTGCCATTTCACATAACCAGGATATTAACAAATACCCGATTCCTACAATCATGAAACCCAGGAAAAACAAACGGCCTGAGTGCATCAGTGTCCCTGATTATAGTTCATTAATCCCCTTGCGGAGATCAGTTACAATTCCACGCTAAATTTCCCCAAGATTTGGTTTAGTAATTTTAGGTCGATGGTCAATAAGTTAGACGAGGTCTCAGCATCAATTTCCACCGAATTATGCAATGTTGCCGTAATTACTGAAACATGGTTAAATTCACGAGTAACTGATGAACTTATTCGTATACCTATGTATCGTGCCGAAGGGATAGACCGAATAACCAACGCGGGGGCGGTCTTTGTACCTATTTCAATTCACAACTTAATTTTACTGAATTAACTGACCTGAGTGAGCCAGAAATTGAGAGTCAATGGTTTCTAATCAGAATGGAACGTTTACCACGAGGAATCGACTCTATTTTATTGGGAACAGTTTACCATCCTCCTCAGAGCGATGACCATGTTCTTCGAATGCATATCTTCAAATGTTTGGATTCTTTACTTGCCACCTATCCTAATTCTGCCATCTCGGTCCTTGGTGATTTCAATCAATTCAAACCAGGTAATCTCTGCAACTCTTTTAGATTGAAGAAACTGGTTACCAAGTCCACCAGGGAAAGTAATATCCTTGACCAAGCTTTTTCAACTCTGTCATCTTACTACGATGCCATCATCCTGCCTCCTATTGGTCAATCCGATTATTCCAGTATTAAGCTTACTACAACCTATTTTGACACATGCTCCAAATCTACCAACCACACGATTGCAAAAGCGTGATTATCGAGCTCCTAACAAACAAAATTTGATCTCTCGTCTGAATATTGTTAACTGAACGCCACTCATGCGGCTGAATTCATGCGAGGAACAACTGGATTCTTACCGGTCGGTAGTTCACGTTGCTTTGAATTCCTGTATCCCCATGCGTACTGTGAAACATCATCCCAACGAGTTGGAGTTCTGCAAGGCACCAAACTTGGTCCTCTGTTCTTTCTTATAATGGTCAATGATCTGTCCAGCGAATTGCCTTTGTACAAGTATGTTGACGATTGTGCAATCTCTGAAGTCATTAGAGTATGTGAACCGGATCTACCAAAATTTCAGCAAGAACTTGACAACGTGACCCAGCGATCAACATGAAGTTGAACGTTAAAAAAACTAAAGATTTCACCGTGTCATTTTTGATCAATCAACCCTTGGCGCAACCCTGGAGGCTGTTAATACCATCAAGCTCCTGGGGGAAAATTTGACCTCCGAACTTAAGTGGACTACACACATCAGGCACATATCCTCCAAAGCAAGCAAACGTCTGTACGCTTTAAGGATATTAAGAAGAAATGGTGTCGAACCGAGTGATCTTAGGACAGTATATTGTAGTTTTATCAGACCTGTCTTGGAATATGCGTGTCCAGTCTGGCATATCTCGTTACCAAAGTTCCTGACTGACGAATTAGAGCACATTCAGAGACGTGCGTTCAAAACTATTGTTTCCCACTTGTCCTACTCCGAAAGCCTCAAAGACCTAAAGTTGCCCACTCTCGAGGAGAGAAGGGAATTTTTATGCAGATCGTTTTACAAAAACAATTATAGTGACACTTCAAGCAAAATTTTTAATCTATTACCTGAACCTTTAAATCATCAGTACAATCTTAGACATTCCCGATCTATATATCTCACTTTTTAAAACCCGAACTAAACGCTATAATGACAGTCTTTTGCCATATTGCATACGCAAATGGAATTCTTTTTAACCTTTTAGGCTTCTATAGATTAATTTATGATTTGTAAATTAGCAATCCTACGTTATTGTAATTAGTATTACCAGCGTATCTATAATCTGTATATACGTATTTTGTTCTACTATTTTTAAACTGTGTAAACTTGTGTTTTTCAGTTTGATTTTGAACTGCCATTCAAGTATTTTAATAAACCTAATCTAAAATCTAATCTAATCTAATCTAATCTATATATATATATATATATATATATATATATATATATATATATATATATATATATATATATATATATATATATATATATATATGTATACGTTCTCTCGTCTTCCCAACGACATGCCACGTCATCAATAATTCGAAAAGCACGCCAATTATGAAACATCTTCAAGATTTCATCTAAATACAATTTATCATGATATCTTAAACAACTAGTTTATGTTTATGCATTGGTTGAAACCAACTCTTGCTGGTCAACGTGTGCATTCATTTCCTCCTGACTATAACAAAAGCCTTGATTATCGAAATCTTTGTCGGCTGAGACGCTTGCATTCAAGGATAACTGTTTATTCCGGCCATCAACAGAGTCGGTATTTTCCTTAAAAAAAGCAGAAATATTTGAAGAACAGATGATCAGAAATCTCGGACATAACCAGCGGCGCTTCCATATGGAGGTGGAGGCGGGGGGGTGGGCCTTCTTCGGCATTAGGAATGATCCTAAATATTGCTTAATATTAGCGAATTAACCCCTTGCTCACATATTTAAAATAGTGACTTCACACCCCCCTCCCCCTCCCTTTAGAATTGTGATTAGACAATGTATTAAGTCCTGCCTCCCCTCTCAATTAAAATGTGATGTTACTTTGAGTTTTTAACTTACTGGTATGTTTTTTCAAAATTAAAACCATGCGTGCAGTGTTTGATTTTTCAACCCGCACTGTTATTTTCAAGGTGTTATTTTAACCCCCAAATCAGGGGTTAAAAAAAGTCTAAAATAATCCTTTTGGGGGTTAAATAATAACATAATTCGGAGTTAAAGTTTAACACCATTTCGGGGGTTAAAATTTAACACCTTTTCGGGGTTAAAAATCTTGTCCCTTAAATCGGGCTTAGGGGCCTGGGGTGACAACTTTGGCTTGCGAAATTACTTTTCAAACTCATGGTTTTTCAATTGTTTGACCGTGTTTCACAACATCAAAGATTAGATACTATAAAGATGTGCCATTCGACGTATTTTCCTAATGTTTGCGTGTCGTAATTTTCACTTACTGCCAAAATGGCGGCGAGACTGATGGCGTTGGATTTTACTATTTAGAGACTGATGGCGTTGGATTTGACACTTACTGGCAAAATGGCGGCTATAAAAAATCTCGGACATAATTTTCGCAGAGTGGCACATCTTTATAGTATCTAATCTTTGACAGCTTCCAGGAAATGAACCTCCGATCTTCAAGAGTGACTCAGGCACCTGCACACACTGTGACCTAGACAAACGAGCTAACCTTGTTTACCTTTAATGAGAATAAAATTTATTGTACATGTATTTATTATTGCGGAAACAGCCTATGTGTGGATTGCTTTTGTGAAATTTGTTGATTAAAACTTGACAAAAAGGGACTATATACTGCTAAACTTTTGGTGTTTTTCCATATCTGTTCTTGTTGCTTAAAGGCCTTCTGAAAACGTCGAGATTCGGTAAGTTTCTTTAAATATTTATAAGGCAAAAGGCATGTTTTGAACAAAAACTACAACATTAATGTCAACTGATTGTTGAACGTTTAGACTTTTGCTCGTACGATTTAGGTTTGATGAAACTAAAAAAGCAATCCGCCTTGAAACACAACCGAACTTGTTAATATTTGTATATTTTGAGCTTTATACTACCATCGTTACTGCCTGTTGTCAGAATAAACCCCCGAATAATAAATTCCTTTCATATTTATTGTCTGATTACCTTAATACTATATTGTTCGAAGACAACAATATATTAATGAATTTGTATGTTTTGGAAAAGTGCCTTGAATTCCTTTGCTTTTAAAAACAGAAACCTAACAGAAACTATCATAAATGTAATAATGAATTTTGTTGTCTAGTACACGGGTATACACAAGCAAATTAAAAGGGAATGGGAAGTTTCGAACAGAAACTACAATATATTTTGTCGAAGTTTAGTTCTGTCTTGGATTTTGAAACAAAAACTTTGTAGTTTATTCTAGCATATACTTATAAGTATACTGTCAGAATAAGCCGAAAAATTCCTTGCCTATATCCATGTTTATTTTTCTTAATATTATGGATCTCAAAGACCAAAATATTAGCGAATTTGTGCTCCTATAATCTATATACGATTTGAAATATAGTGCCATCATTGAGTTGCTTTCGTTTTGAAAAAAAATCGAGCATGCATGGCCTAGAATTCTCTCGCCGTTATTTTAACCCCAATATAGGAGTAAAAAGGTTTTACACTCTTAGAATCTGCTTGCCAAAGTTTTTAACCCCTCAAAGGGTGTTATTTTAACTCCAATATTGAGGTTAAAAGGTTTTACATTCTTAGAATCTGTTCCGGGCAAAGTTTTTAACCCCTCAAAGGGTGTTTTTTAACCCCCATATTGGAGTGAAAAGAGCTCAAATTTTTTAACACCCCTAAAAATCCTTTCAAGGGAGATTAAAATAACACCTTGAAAATAACAGTGCGTTTTGCCTTGTCATGCAACTTGGGCAACGGAGTAAATGCGAAATTTACAACTCCGCTATAGCTATAAACGAGTTTGCTCGGCAAGCAACAGCTACGATTCCGGCAAAGCGGGTCAGCGAGGTTCTTGTGTAATCGAAATTGAAAAAAGAAGTAATAAATATATACGAGCGGGTCACTCGCTTAAACAGGCTAACTCGGTTAAACGGGTCCACTCTCTACGTGTAATCGGCCCCTAAGTCCTAACGAGATATACAAATTAGAGGTAGATATAGATTGGAAAATTAATTATGTCCGCGATTTCTAGCCATGAGTGGTATAGAAACATGTATATTCATCCACTAGGATGGGATTTCCGAGTTTTCTTTTTTCTCTTTATTTTGGAACTGAAAGGGGAGATGGTACATTGCGGAAAACAAACATGTGTGCCAATATCCATCAACATATTGTTCCCAGGATTTAAAATAGCCCCATTGCAAATAAGTTATCATGGGCCGATTAAAAAATAAAAATGACAGCGTCCTTTTGAAAAAAAATGAATGAAATTGTCTAGAAAATATTCAGTTGAATATCAATTAGAAAAAGCTTTGCATGCTTGTAATATATCCTTTGTGCAATAAAATCGTTTGTGTGTTGTAAATATAAAGTCCGTCAAAATAGTGCGGTATGTCCACATGCACTTTTCACTCCACGAGCCATAAAATCGCTGGAAGTTTAGCCGAAGCACTTTATACCCTGCCGTTAATTTGACTGTATAATTTGGCTTTTCAATAAACTCGGTTACGTAGTACAATAAATATGTATGGTGGAGGGGGGTGGGGGCAGGGGACATCCTCCCTTGGGTCTCTAAAGTGCCATTTTCTGCTCTTCAGGGGCCATGTTATACAGTTTCAACTTTTTTTAATTATTATTAACAAACAACTACGGGCTTGACTAAATATAAAATAACTCAAAGCACTTAAAACACAGCAAGATGGAAATGCACTTTACAGAAAGTAAAAATGTGATGCCCAATTACAGGGGGAGCGGGTCATAATTTTAAATAGTAGGAATCGCCTTATATGCTATAAGCTTTCTCGACAGACTTATTAATTACTCAGGCCAGCTCGTAAACTCTCGGTTCCATGCATTCTTGACTATATATAGCTCTAATGTAGGCTACCTGCTTTCTTTTTTCATGTTTTTCTCCATCTAAAGTAATATAAATCAGAAGGAATATGTAAAAATTTGTTATGAGGTAATTTCATGGATAGCTATAGCGGTAAGATGAACATCACATTACTGCAATACAGGTTTATCCTAATTTTTTAATTCACATCATATATTTGTGCATATAAATTGCACATATCAAT